ACTAAACAGGTGAAATACAGATGGGCTTTTTTACCAGCTCTGAAAAAAATAAACGCCAGCTCATTTTCGCCTGTTCAGAGCGGCGCAATAGCCGAACTGGTGTTTTTTTGGGCCGGACTGGTGAAAATCGCTGAACTGGTCTTTTTTGAGTCAGCGGGGAAACCCAGCATAAACTCGCGCTGTCAGCAACTCGTTCTGGTTGCCGAGCTGGTTTCCGGTCGGTGCGTACATGGAAGATACAGCAAGAGAGGTATCGTTGGACGGAATCGGTGATTCTTGCAACCGATTAGCTTCGTGTTTTCGAGCTCGTCCTTNTTCAAAAAATTCCGGAGTGATAGGACTACGTTCAGAAGGGAGTCGCTGCGAATCGACACCAAACGCATTGCCCTAACCTTTAGCCTGCATATGCAACAACACGCCTTAGCAGCATTTACAAGCCTCAATATTCCCGAGGGATCCACTGCAGCACGGTCGTTCGCTTGTGTGCGGCACTAGACTAGTCTACTGCTGAACCAAGAGGACCAGAGGCATGAGATTTCATGCCGCAGCGTGCCATCTCACCTCGAAATCACGAACTCGGGTGGAAGCTCCAGCGCCGCCAAAAGCCGACGGAAGTGGGGCTTCTCGAACCTCAACAGTTCCTTGAAGTCGAACCCACCAAGCACCTCCATGAAGTCGTACCTCATGCCATCTAGCTGTGTCGGCGCGACGAGCTCTTGGAACGCGNGACTACTGCTGAATCAAGAGGACCAGAGGCATGAGATTTCATGCCGCAGCGTGCCATCTCACCTCGAAATCACGAACTCGGGTGGAAGCTCCAGCGCCGCCAAAAGCCGACGGAAGTGGGGCTTCTCGAACCTCAACAGTTCCTTGAAGTCGAACCCACCAAGCACCTCCATGAAGTCGTACCTCATGCCATCTAGCTGTGTCGGCGCGACGAGCTCTTGGAACGCGCGCCATTTCACCACCCAATATGCGCCCAAAACGAGTAGTAGGTCCTCCTCGCCTAGCGCTCCGCACACTGCCGCGAGCAGGAGGATGCGCATGCACTCAGCGTACCGCTCATGGCCCATTCTGGCACGGTGGAGGCGCGCCATAGGCGGTGGTGTGCGGAGTGTGGACCAGTATGCTCCGTGTGTGTACGCCCGACTTGAGGGGGGGGGGTGGAGCTCCGTCGATCATTCTCACCAACAGGCACACGTCTCGCCGCCTTCGCGGGCAGTTTTTTTTTTTTCTTAATATGACAATATGACACAACGAGTCCATCTCTATCATAGAAAAGAGTCAGAGACATATTAACAACGGAATCATAGCGTCAGAGAAAACTACCTGTGTGTCTACGATTTCCCAGACAGCATATAGGGACATCTCCCCTGTGGGTAACAGGCTCAACAAATCAGTTTGGTAGCTGTCTTGTGTGTCTCATATATGTTATGTTGGGAAGGTGCAGACGAAAGGTGTTGGGTACTGTTGGGTAGTCGGGCGTTTTGTGTGTCGCACCCTATTAGTTCTAACACATGCAATCTCCATCAGTTTACAAACATATTCTCAGTTTGGTATGCATATGTGCGGAGTATGTGCGGCTGATGTGCCATCTCTATCATAGAAAAGAGTCAGAGACAGATTAACAATGGAATCATAGGGTCAGAGAAAACTACCTGTATGTCTACGATTTCCTAGACAGCATATAGGGACAACTCTCGGGTGACAGGCTCAAAAGATCAGTTTGGTAGCTGTCTTGTGTGTCTCATAGACTATATGTTATGTTGTGGAATTTCATGTCGTTAAATGTGAGAAGGTCACGGGAGAACATTTCTCATCATTGCCTCCTGATGACGTGGTCGCCGATAGAGGCGTGTGGTTGATGAGGTTTCATAACCGACATGTGGGTGTGTGTTAAATGCAGTGGGTGTGTTCACCTCTCTCTTCCGTGTGTAGGTAGGAGGTATGGCTACCTCTCCCATTTGTAGGCAGCGTGGACCATACTTGTAAATATAGTCTAGACAGAGTTCATCATTTCATGCATGTTACATTATTTGTGTTTGACAAGGGAGGAATGAGAGGTTGTGCGTATGGGTACGGGGGTACTCCCTGTGTCCGTGTTGTTCCCAGATGTTGCCGCATCAAGTGGCAGCATGTGTCATGGACAGGTAGACGTGGAAGGACGGCGACAGGTGAACGGCAGCAGTAGTATGTTGTGCATGGTGGCATGTTGGGCTTGTGCAGAGGCGCAGTCCATCTTCGACCACACACAAAATTTTTCAACTGCCATTTTTCGCCAGTTCGTGCCGAACTGGTAAAAATGAACTGGTGAAATGCGGGGAAACCGAATTAACCCGCAATCCATGAAGCCAACGGCGTTCCGATAACTGTTGTACTGCTGCGCCGAGAATTCCAGGATCTACCAAGATCTACCAGATTTTCATGTCCTTGGCGGGTGAAACAATCTGAGAACGGCAGAAGCATTAGTCTAATAGTGAAGTAGTCCGTCTCGTGAAAACCTCCCGGCCGTTCCAAGGTGCCATATCAAAAGGAATAACGATCCATATCAACGCGAGCAAAGCCGCATGGTTAGACTAGACTAGATGGTGAAACAAATCGCGCCTTCTCGGCCGGAGCACCAACGAGCAATACTTTCAGTCAACAACATACAGTCTAGACTACTCTACCCGACAGCAAACATCGTGTATTTTTCAGCGTACGATCACCCGCCAGATTCTATGGTTCTGATATTTGCGGTGTACCCGTCTCATGTTCCGCTTTCTCCCATGAGGCTGCCGTCCTCTCATTCTCAGCAACTGCGGTGAACATCATACCAGACTGTGCTGGCAGCAGCCTCTCGAGTTCCGAAGACCTAGTTAGTCTAAAGATCACCACCCCTCCAAACAACCAGCAAGGGGTAGCCCGGTCGGATCCCGTCGACGGTCTTCCTCATTCGTAAGTCCAATACACAAATTCCCTGTACTCTGCATCGCCACTTTGTCTGGAAGAGGTAGTGAGCTCATGCAACAGCATGCTGACACAGCAGCAGAGCGGATCCTTTATGTCGCTAAGCTTTTGGTATGTTACGCTTGCCTGCACATTTAGACTAGTCTAGGTATGCAGATCCAATCTACTGCGTGGACGGAAAGGGAATCGTACCGCGGGCGTAGACTGTGTCTGAGCACTCGCTGCCACTACCAGAACCTTCACCCACATTAATCCATCCATCTACAGTGTAATACTCTACAGAGAACACAACAGCAATAATATACGGGTGCGCACAAACAGGTCTCACACAGGGAACCTATTGTCTGATCTGTTCCGACGTCGTGGCACAAAGATAGTCTAGATGTATTTCCCAGCTGCGAGAACTTGCCTGTTCATGTTTGCTACCATCTGCTAGAACTTGCTTGTTCCTGTTTGTTGTTGTCTTTGAAACGTAGGGTGTGCATGGATTGACGGCCGACGAAGGGTAACCTGCGTTATCAGTAAATGTTCACCACACTCTTGACTGTACGATTGTATACAAAAAAGACGGTATTGTAGGTTATTTGGCAGGGTCGAGGTCTAAACCTTGTATTCTGTCATCGGAAGCTTCGCATGTCTTCGCAACATTTGCCCCTTAGGCGGCTCTACGAGAACTTCCGCAGAAGATATTAGACTATGCACATACATGTGGTCGGACCTTGCGCGCGAAATTTGAGTAACGCATTGAATATCGTTGCGATTTTTACACCAATGGACGAAACGAATGTTGTCTTTACCAAAAGCGACGATGACCTGCAGACACCTACAGCAGGGTTGGTTGTAGTTCAACTATTTTTTTGCAAGACCGAACATGTGGTCCGGATTCATATGATAGGTAGACTACCCATTACGGTAGGGCTGAAACGGCAACATTGTCAGAGTGGTGATGCGTCCCCATGTAATCAGGGTTTGGTTGGCTGTACCCAGCACCCAGACAGCCTTGTGGACGTTGGAAAGCACAGTTGAGATGAATTTATCATGATCAATTACATCGGGGCTACCCACGTAGACCTAGATTTCTCCAGCACACAAGACATGAAACCAATGGACAGCGCCTTCATACCCACAACACCAACATCAATATACTACTGCCTTCCGAACACTTCACCCCGAGAGCAATGCCACGGTAGGGGGGACACTTTTTAAGACATGGGTCACATGCTGTCGCCCGACAAGGTCGATGTAAATGCTCGTAACTCTCTCAATTTTTGCATTTCAAGGAAATCAATTCTGCCCAGGCAGCCGCCTGGCGTATATCTCGCGGTGTGCAAAACAACGGTAAGCATTTTTTCCATTGGTTGAGGCAGTACACACCAGTCCGCCAAAACACTCCATGTGACCGAGGGGGTACCCCCTATCGTAGCATCCCTCCCGAAACCGAAAGACTTGAACAGCTTACCCAGCAAACCTCAACTTCCTCGGGTAGCCATCGTAGGTAATACCTCTGGCGCGTGTTCATGCTTCGAACACCCGAACACAGGTCTCCTCGAAGTTATCCGTGTAACCAATACCGTCACAATTTTTCGTTGTTCTTGAACTGCATTACGTAACTCTACTCGACGCAACAATAGATACAAACCAACACAACGTCGACAGAATATATTTATTTATTTATTTATTTATTTATTTATTTTTGCCTTCCGACAATTGCAGATGTACCTCAGAAAACTTTCACTTAATGTCTCATACTCTACATGAATATTAAACCAATAAGAAGTACAACAACATGTAGGACGTATTTCTACTGTCATTTACATCGTACAAGTATCTCCTCTTCAACTTACCAATGACAATCCTGATGGTATCCTATATGCGTTCGTAAGCTTGCTAAAATACTACTGCGTTGATGTCCGCTTGTAAAAGCTGAAATCCAACAAATGCTTTGATCCATGCTACATCTCCGTGTTGGAAAAGCCCTTTCATCTCCGTTCATGATAACATCTTACCCTATTCTACGCAAATCTGTCACATCTCAAACAAGACGCCAACTTCAAACGAAAACGCGTTCTACGATGCGTCTACACTCCATCCCCATATCATTGGCGTTGACTGGTCCGAGGTCGATCTTGTTCGCCTGTTTTCGGCGTCTTGACGCCCGCGCAATGCGAGCTTGTACCTCTGCACTCGCCGAGATATGGCCACCTGTGTAGCCACCGAAACGATCTGAAGAAGTCGTTCCTTGAAGACTCCTTTCAGAGCCATCGTTCCTCCGTCCCTTCCTCCCACGGCATGTGTCGCAAGTTCATCGATGAACTCGTAACCCTCCTCTCCAAGGCGGCCAAAGCTTTCCACGGCTAAGGTGGTAAGTTTAAATCTGCGTTCGTCAAAGGACACGTGTCCCGGACGAGCGTAGTGCTGACGCTTTCGCGCCTCGGATGCTTGGGCTGCGATTCCATCGCTGGTCGCGCTGCCGTTCCGCAAGTGTACCTGTGCTTGCGGGTCTGCGTGTGTGACATCGAGGAGTATTCCTTTGTTGTGGTACCCCGGAGAAGATGCGTTCGTGAGGGCTCCTGGCCTGATGACGATGTCCATGCTCAGGTTTCTTTCCCCCGTGAACGGTGCCCCGCTTTCAACGTCGTGTTTGACGCGNCGCCTTCCCTGCCTCTGTGGCACCTGGGACATCTTTCCGCCAAGAATTCTTCAACTCCCAAGGCGCGTCTCGTCGCGTAGACGAATTCGTTCGATGGAATCTCTCGAGCTCGGTCGGTGGGAGCCGCTCTCAGGAACGTATTGTATCCCACATATGATTGACTCTGCGGGGTTCGTTCGCCATCCGCAAGCCTACAAGCATGGGTTCCCTTTTGCTTCAGTTGTAGCTCACGGCCACTTGCCCCAAGTAAACGGCATGGGATGGCAAGCTGTTCATGCGTACCCCCTCGTTGACGGCACAAAATGTACACCCGAGGAATGCAACAACATCCAGACAGACTTCTCCCGGGTCATCTGTGCTGTGCAGTCAAAAACCGCTGCTACAACGCCTTGTACCATGTATGCATCAAGCGCTAAAACATCAATCATCACCCAAATATCCCACTTCATGAACTACATGAGGCCGCCCACGTTGTAGTATATTTGTCGAGCACCCAAAACATCAAACCAGTGGACACAGCCTGATCACGCACCCAACACCAAAGGTAAAAATCCCACCACCTTCCAAACACATTAACCCCAAACCGAAAGATTACAGCAGCTTCCTTTGCAGGAACCTTCATAATCCTTGGGTAGTCAATAAATAAAGCACCACTCGCGTACGATCATGATATGGTTTGTACTTGACTGGAGACCCCTCTTTTGAAGGCCGGCATGCGGAGTCTAGATCAACTGGGTTTCGACCCTTGTGTCCGTTTTCACCTTGCAACGGGGCCGGAGGCAGCAGGAAAAGAAGCACGTCAAATAAAAGTCAAATACATTCAACCAGGAGGAAAAAGTGTGGCTGACAGCACAAGATCGCCTCGATACGTAAAAGCAACATGCACGTTGTCAATGGGAAGGAAAAATAAACTCGATCCAGCCTTGAGAAAACGAAGGAAGTTCAATTAACGCGCCACCCTGACCAGTTGAAAAAGGAAGCAACCAACTCGCAATAGGAAAACCACGAACCCCCGAAGGAACCCATGCCGTTTTCGGGGAATGTCGTGCTTCGGTAAGCGTGGTCCCGTCAGGGTTGCGTTCGCGGTAGACTTTCAGCTCATTTAACCACGTGGTTGTTTCCGAGAAGTTTTGAACGTGCGGCAAGCGTGGACGAGAAGGTCCCAAGTTTGTTGTTTGTTCCTCCTGTTTGTACAAAATATTGTGCTGGAACGCGGGCCTATCGCTGAGCTTTAGGCCCCTTCGGGAGTAGCAACATGCAACAATATTGACAGCACACCAGACAATAAGCTGCACCGGGCTCCACACAAATCCCGCTCGTGCTCCCCCTCCCCCCTTCCGTCCTACAGTACTGGTGTATGGTGGGGAGCCTGAGATTACAGGGGGGGGGGAGGGGGGGTGGACTCATGGTCGTGCATGCCGTAGTCGTTAGACCATTGACCTCGCATCCCTACAAAGCCGGGACGGAGCACGCCGGGTTCTCACCGGACCAGGCTCTCACATCACCAAGCGCGAAGCGCCGTGAGATATTCGGCGAGTCGCATGAAGGGTGCGCTGCATCCTNGGACCAGGCAGATTGCAGGGGAACGGCGAAATTCCAAATGAACTATTTCCCGCACTCGGTTATACGTAACCACAGTCGCGACTATCGAGAGCGCCATGGGGCTTCACAATCTACACGTTTTATTGTGATGGAAAAAGCTGTCAAGACACGCACGGACATTCTGTAAGCACTGCCCATTGGACAGTGGTTGTGAGGGTCGACTGAGTACGAGCCCCGGCAAACGGCCCTTAGTTGTGCATTATTTGTATTGCCGACATTTCGTGGTACACGTCTGCACGAGACGCTCACGTCACGCTCGATATAAGTTGCATCACAGCCCAAAAGAAAAAACGGTCCCGGGGACTTTCGGCCCCTCTGCCTCTGTATTAAACCCAGCCCCGGGCTGTGTGTATTCAATACAAGCACCCGATCCCCCCCGCGGGTCAATGACAGATGTAAATACGGTAAGCGTACCTTATTGGCGTTCCCCCGGAGCACCCTTCTTGTTTGTTGGTGACAGCCAGGGAGATTCGACCAAGACCACGCAGTCTCGAGCCCTTTACACGCTCGCGTACATCCGCGAATTGGATGAGCGTGCCTCTGGTGGGAGTGCAATTTGCTCCCATGACGTCGATACAGGCATCACACTGGTCCAGTTCCGGGTCCGCTGCAGATAGTAGATGTGTGTTCGGGCACGAAGTGAGAGTATATTTCACCGACATTTTAACTTTATCCCTAGGTTCGGGTTTAACGTTTCAATACACAAGCTAGTGCCGCGGCCCCTCGCTGGGGGGGCGGGTGAGGGTTACCCGCCCTCGTCTATGCTCCTGTTCTGCAATGCAGCGTACGACGGACTGCTTTAACGCAAGCAGCAAAGGGGTCCTTTGACGAGGGGGGGGGGGTCCCCCGGCGCTCGTTGTGTCGACCCAAACCTACAATGTGTTGCACCGTTGCTGGAAAGTACAATCCGGCTATCAACGGCCAAGGATCAAGCAGCGGTGAACGATATTTCGTACACAATATGTGTACTTGACTTGCCTACGTTGCATGAAAAAACAAATCTTTCGGCAAGTCTCCAGAAACCTTACACTTGAAGTGACTACATTCACGGGGCGGGGGGGTCGAGATTGCCCGCTATCAACATGTGCATGCACGGCAAGCTCAACGCTCGGCGGGGAGGTCGGGAGGTCGACCGGAAAATTTCAAAAGATGAAAAAAAATAGCGAATTCTCATACGGCGGGGCAGGTGGAGTCGGCGGCGTAGGTACTGCTTGCGCGGCTGCCTCAGCCGGGACTGGCGGTGCCGGTGGCAGGAACGTAAAAGTCGTGGGCTCAACCTGCATGGGTGCGTCCATGTGCCAACAGGAAACACGACGAAGAGCAGGGGAATGGAAGTAGATTCATCATCCGCTGGTTTTCCATCGTCGTTTGGACAATAGTCAGCACCGCGGGGGGGTGGGGGGGGGTGTACTCATAGTCGTGCATGCCGTAGTCGTTAGACCATTGACCTCGCATCCCTACAAAGCCGGGACGGAGCACGCCGGGTTCTCACCGGACCAGGCTCTCACATCGCCAAGCGCGAAGCGCCATCAGATTTTCCGCGAGTCGCGTCAAGGGTGCGCTGCATCCTGCTAAGGGTGTTCGGCATCTTGTGCTTACT